ATTTGGTCTGGGCCCGAGGTGGGCTTAATAGCCGGCGACTACTGTATTTTGGTAGGCATGACTCGTTGCATATAGAAGTGTAACTTCAATAACTGCCCCAGTTCTTTCACACAACCCTATGTACGTGTACCCCATCCATCAACCTGTCCCTCTTCTTCCCGATGAAATTATTATTCGCTGGCACATGCTGCTTTCGCACGTTGACACCTTCCATGAAGTTCTTATTTCGTCTTCTTAGATTTTGAATACTTTTGATATCATCATTCCTCTGATGAGCAAGTCTGTTTTGTACATTGTGACTCTGCAGGAGCGTCGTTCCCGCCCTCTACCTGGGGACTCCCGAAGTTTCACGTCTGGAGACCCTTTTCACTAGGTCCGGTCTGGTGGGCAACGTGGTGGCCATCGTCACTGACGACGTTCGCAACTTCGGCCAGGGCTGGGCCTCCATTCTGAGCTTGGTCAACACCTACGAGAACAGCGACGGTCGTCGAGTTATGTCACCACCACCGCCTATTCTGTCCTCTGCTCGCGCTCTTGACTGGCTAACCGTGTGGAAACGCACTTCCGACTCCAGTTTTGAAGGCTCCTTCTCGCTGGACGTCAAGCAAATTGTCTTCCTTGATGTGGACAGGGTAAGCAGGCGTTTTTTGCCGCATCTACCGATCAAACCTTAGCCTCTCGCCTTCACCGTTGGTGATGTCACGCGCTAAACACAGAACTGGAACGGGCCAGTTACCACGCCTTCTGCCTTTTACCTCCAACCCGAATTAGACGCGACGATCGTACTTCTCCTATTATACCCACTATTTAGGACCTACAAGTTTATCCCTTAACTTATTCCTTAACTAAATCGCTTCGGAATTTGGCACACGCTGCATGTATATAGGGTGTTTTGTGTTCCTATATCCTGCTTGCGTGGCCACACACAATTCGTGCTTACCCAAGTACCCTAATATCAAACACGAATACTGGGAAGTCTTTATAGAAGAACGATAGGTAGTGCGAGTTCCCGTTTACCTACAAGTTGGGAGTCAGACTCGTACCTGAAACTATTTTTTCGGCCACTAATCTTCGTTTTCGACCATCTTTTCAATGTTCGTATCATTATGTCACAAACCACGAGGAATTGTTTTCTTGTAAGAGGGGTACAAGAGGATTGTGGTCCAACCTTTCCCCTCCTAAATACATGCTGCTATGTTTTTCCTACTAAGTTCGTTTGAATAGCTGGGTATAATTTACCATGATCTGCCCATATAACCCCTCTTTCCACTATTTCTGTATGAGCGATAATTGTGGGGCATATTATTGGGCGTTATATTTTTATCTATCTTTCTGTAGCCTATATTCTTCGGGTCTATTTCACTTGTCAACTTTACTAACCGTGTCTTTGTGCCTCTCCTAACAATAGTTTTCGCCTAACTGCACAACGTTTTCCATCCGATTAAAAATCCCAAATCAATTTTAGTTTAGGTAGACGACCTACGTACGCACTTTTGGTATTCAAGCCTGATCCCTTTGCGCAATTTACCTTGAGGCCTTTTTGCAATTGTTGGATCTGTTGTCGGCGACCTTTAGATTACTCGTTGATGAACGTTCATTGATCGCTAGCGCAAGTCACTCATTCTGCTCTGCTTTCGGCCCAAGGCTTGTTAGCCGTCGTCAGTCGGTCATACCCTACCCCAAGTGGTGCACCACCCGAGGCCCGAACTTTCGACCTTTTCACTAGAAGCCTCGCACTAACCATTGAACCACAAGCTCGTTGTTTTGTAGGTTTAGATTGGGAGATATTAGTTGCCGAGTTTCAATATCTCTTAACCTAAACCGGCAAAACCACGAGCTCGTGGCTCAGTGGTTAGAGCGTTAGACTTCTGATCAAAACGTCGTGAGTTCAAGGTTCCAGTAAGGCACCACTTGTAGTTGGATACGACTGGCTGACGACGGCTAATAAGCTAGAAATGGCCATTCTAGTCTTCCGATTCAATTACTATTAACATGATAACAAAGGTTTCCGTGAAAGTGTTTTCTTGGAAAATAATAGCCTAAAGCTGTACTGGCTGTGGGCTGAACAGGTCTCTTTAATTTGACTTTTTCTACTAGATTATGACAGACAGTTATTTTGAGAACGTATCGTATTACCGGTCTATTGCCGGGATACTAGGAATAAAAGAAATCCATCGCCCTCTTGGTGTTCGCGATCGGCATTTTTTGCTTTGTCACGCCTCTCGGAGTGTCTAATCTGCCTTTTTTTTCAGTTGCCGGCCGCCTTGGTGTCCGAGATTGACAGCCTAGGATTCACACTCATAAACAAAGAGTTTCTCATCCACTCTCTCATCCATGGACGGCTGTTGGATCTCACCAGCGGCCTCGTCCAGTCTTAATTATCTCCTGTTCCTCCACCCTTCCCTTGTATTCCTAGAACCCTTGTTTTTAAGCATTTCTTCTGCCGTCTCTGTTTGAATTTATTGTAAGCGTATTCTAATGACCCGTTTTACGACCTTTTTCGGTCTTAATTATCGAATATTGCAAGTTTGTAATAAATTCTTTTCACCACTTGACGCCTTCTCATTTCGTATTTCATTAAGACTAAGACGGAGAGAAACCAAGTACAAAGAAGACTTTAAGACTCTACGGAACCTACATGGTTCGAAAACACTATTTTTTCAGGTGATTCACTGTCTCCATATCACTTAAGTCGATAGCTAGACGGGCATGTTTATTAGCAATTGAAAAAAAAGCAGATAATTTAGCGAATCTTCTTTCAGTTTACTCACTCTGTTAGTCTGTGGAAGTGAGTGGGATTTCGGTCTGCTTGCGATCTGGCGGACATAGCTACATTTGGTTAGGATGTGCCGTTCCCAGTGAGGACGTCATGTTTAAGCAATGGTTTGAGTAAATTGTGGAGATGATGCTTCTAGGTCTAATACTTTCCTGGATCGGACGACCAAGCAGTCACACCACACAGTTCGAGCTCCAGGCCCACTGCAGCAAGGGTGGCGAAAACCTCAGCTAAGGGCACACGACACAGAGAGGATCATGAATAC